TATATATATATATATATATCTTAATGACCATATCATAATATAATTATCTAATACTATTATAAAAGTGGATTAGGATGTTAAAACATTTCTTCCCAAAATGTCCTTTCAAACATATATGTACATACATAAAATACATGCATCCATACATAAACCATAGGCATACATACATAACCCCCAATTGAATGCATACTCATAACCCCCAAATAATTTTATTTTACCATCACTATGTTGAATCAAATAATTTTATTTTATCATGACTATGTTGTTTACACTTTTGTAACCTCCCATCATCATATTAATCTCTTTCATTAATGTTACTTCCTTTACCTCATATCACAACTCACACTGACATTTATGGACAAAAAAATGCTCCAGAGGGTATAAGTGAGTATTTGAATAGACATGTTTTTATGATTATAACAATCAAAACGTTTATGATAATAACATTTATAAACCCAACTAAATGCATACTCATAACCCATGATTATAACAATCAAAACGTTTATGATAATAACATTTATAAACCCAACTAAATGCATACTCATAACCCCAAATAATTTTATTTTACCAACACATGATAATAACATTTATAAACCCAACTAAATGCATACTCATAACCCCAAATAATTTTATTTTACCAACACTATGTTGAATCAAATAATTTTATTTTATCATGACTATGTTGTTTACACTTTTGTAACCTCTCATCGTCATATTAATCTCTTTCATTAATGTTAATTATGTTACTTCATATCACAACTCACACTGACATTTATGGACAATAGAAAAACAAATCCTTCGGAGGGTATAAGTGAGTATTTGAATAGACGTGTTTTCATGATAATAACAATCAAAACATTTATGATAATAACATTTACAAATTATTATCATACATTAATTTAGTAATAATGAAATTTAGACTTCTAAAATTACCCTTCAAATGCATCCATACATACATAAATAAACACATACAAACATACATAAATTCACATACATACACATATAAATTCACATACATATTTATTCATTCAATATGATAGAAAATATAAAAATTAATATGACATAACCCTCCTATTAATTATCCATGATGAGTATTAACTTCTATTTTTTATAACCCCCAATATTAAACCTATATTAATTCCATCAAGACATTCATATCCCATAATCATAACTTCTTTCTCATTTATATACTATCATCTATATATTTTATATATTTTGTAATGCACGTAAAGAAAGTCAATAATATAAGCAATGACCTATAAAAGTTTATTGATTAATCATTCTCATATAAACCACCATTTCCTAATTCATTCATTATAGCCCCACCCATTACAAATCTTACAGCATTTTCTTGTATTTGGCCTCTCCTCTACCTCTATATCTTTTTTCTCAATATGATATATCCTCATTTCCCTTCAAACTCCTCCTCATTTTTAGCGAGCACATACATTGATGCTAAGAGGAACTAAGTTGATCACTCCGATGTGCAACTCGAGAGGTTCAACATAAACTAAAATGAGGCCGATGGAGAACAATATATTGAGATGCAGTGAAATTCAACTAGATGATCATCGTTTAAAGACAGAGATTGTAAGATTTTAAATCAACTTACGGTGTAATTTTATGAATTTAGTAGTTGTTATAAGGGATTTCTTTGTGTATGTGTGAAGGTTCATAATCAATTACTTGGGTTTTGAGTGAAAGAGAGATTATTCTTGTGTAAGGAGGAATTGCCGATTTAGTATTTAGTAAATAGATATGCTCTACATTTTCTTATGTGTGTGTCTTTTAATCTTATGATCATTCAGTTTATTTTGCTTTACATGTTCTGACAAATCACTTTGAAAAGGTTTTATTTACCTTATAATTTATTTATTAATATTAGATAAATAGTAATGAATTATATATTGTTCTAAATTAAATTAAATTATTAAAAATATTAATATATAATTAAAACATATTTTAATATCATTATTAGTTGGATGTAGCTTGACTTAACAATCAAAACGTTTGTATGCAGATATATACTTTTTTATAGTGAGTATTTGAATATAGACTCGAAAAAAATGCTCATCTATCTTTTCATTAATGTTAATTTTGTTACTTCATAATCATAATTATTTGGCAAGTCATTATTACTACATAATTCGGTTATAAGTCAAATCTCACATAAATCTAATCCATACACAACTTCCATCTTACAAAATCTAACCAAATCTTACTAAATAAAAAAATAAAAAACAGGAGGAGATGGAAGCAACATTATGCGATTCAAATAGGTTGTTAGTAAAAGCATGTTTTTGTTTGTAAGGTAGTAGGATACTTTTTCACTGTATTTCGGAAAAAGACATCCTTCAGCACATTTGTTTGTATGCGTATATTTTATTACTTTTTCCTGAAGGATGTCATCTAATCAAGATGGAATTAACGATCAAGCCCACATCCCGATCCGTGAGTTAAAATTTTATCAGAAACAATGGAGTATAAATGTTCGTGTCTTACGTAATACTATAGACTCCTTTAAGAATGGAGAAGGAAAGTAACAAAAGTTGATTCTAATTGATGAGGAGGTGATACAAATTTTACATTGCATAAAATAATTTACCGATTATTTTTTTAACCATATTAAATGCATGTGTAAAAAAATCTTCAAAGGGGAACTTCTTAAGAATAGATATATCTTTAAATGAGCATCATGATTATCCATTACACTTGCTATCCCTGTAAAATTTCTTAGCAAACATCAAGTGATTGATACTTTTTTGTATTTGAGATTTTTGAAGTTACTCATGATGACCATTTAGATGGATAGTTTACACACATAGAAAGTATCATCACAAAAATAAACATAAAAATAAATACACGTGTAACACACGTGCACTATACTAGTATATAAAAATATATACAAATATAATAACCAGGCTAGGCCGGGTCTGGATCACACAACTTGAGCCCGTACCCGAAGGCCGATCAGCCCGAGTTTTCTGGGCTTGTCCCAGACTCAGGGTGGGTTTGGGCCCGGCCACTCCGGGCCGGGCACCGGGTCTTAGGCTCGAATGAACACACCCCCAGAGAAGGGGACGAAAAAGAGAAAAAAAAACACCTATCCATAGCCTTAAGAATTTTACAGGCATAAAACAGTCACCAAGCTCACAGAGACTCAAAGCTCCTGCTCCAGCTCCAACTCCAACTGAAGAGATACATATCAACAATCTCAAACCCTCGCTTTTCATAGAAATAAACAAAGCAAGAAAATGCAACTCCATTGTTACTCTCTTCTCTCCTGCTACTCAACCTTCTGCATCTCTCCACCATTCTTCTCACAATTCAGACCCCAATTCCCAAAACCCAACAAAAACCCAGCCCCAATCCTCTCCTCAAACAAAGCCAACCCCGATCCAAAACCCAACTCCACCAACAAAACCCTCAACCTCAGCAAGCAACCAGAGCCTCTCGAGCTCCTAACGAAACCCGAGAAGCCCGAAAACCCCAATTCCGCAGAGCCTGAAACCCCCTCTGAAGATTTCAGCGAAGCCCTAGCTCCCTTCCTCAAATTCTTCAAATCCGACGGATCCGAATCCGACTCCGATGACGAAGCCATCGAATTCGCCGATACCCATCAACCCATTAGCCCGAAACTCGAAGAGGTGACCGATGTCAGTGTGAAGTACTACGAGCCCAAAAGAGGGGATTTTGCTGTTGGCGTTGTTGTTTCGGGCAATGAGAACAAATTGGATGTGAACGTGGGTGCTGATTTGCTCGGGACGATGCTGACGAAGGAGGTGATGCCGTTGTATGGCGCGGAGTTGGATTATTTGCTTTGTGATCTTGAGAAGGAGAGGGAGAGGGAGGAGTTTATGGCGAAGGGGAGAATGGGGGTTGTGAGGGACGAGGAGGTTTTGAGTAGGGAGAAGGTAGAGGGGAGGCCGGTGGTAGAGGTGGGGACTGTGCTTTTCGCGGAGGTTTTGGGCCGGACGCTTAGCGGTCGGCCGCTGCTTTCATCGAGGAGGATGTATCGGAGGGTTGCGTGGCATCGAGTGAGGCAGGTTCTCGATTTCACTCTTATCTCTAGTTGTGATCTATTTCAATGTGCATTTTGGAGAATGGAAATGTTTAGCTACATTTGATACAGTTAGTTGATAAACTCGTGTTATCTAGAGAGGTTTTGTGGTTTGTCAATTGTAGTTGCATGCCACTGTCACATTTGGGAACAGTTGCAACTATTTGTTTCATTGCGACTAATAAATACAGTTGCAACTGCGGCCTCCAATTCTAACCAAAGTCTTGTACAAATTTGAATGTAAGTCCAAGGTGAAACCTTCTAAACAACAAAAATATTTAAATTACAATTGATATTGCAGCCAACGCTCAGAAAGTCCAGCAAGCCCAAAACAAGCACCTGCAACGACAGTTGCAGTTGTAATTTGTAAACTGTAAAAATTTAAAAGTACACCAAGAAATTGCAATTATAATTAAGAATTGCAGTTACATACAATTGATACTAGCATTGCAATTTGTAAAAACTTGGCAACCCCTAAATGCTAAATTAATTAAAGAAATACCCACCTCATGTTGCATATACTTTTCTTTTACTTTCTAGGCTGAGTTAGATGTATTCTAGTCATGACACATGTGCTCTTTATTACTCTTGAAAGAACTAATCCTTCCTATCTAATTTTCTTTCTTATGGATGAGTTTGTGTTTTCTTCACTGCAGATAAAACAACTCAATGAGCCTATTCAGGTTAAAATTTTTGAATGGAATACCGGTGGACTACTCACGAGAATAGAGGTGACTATTTTTTGTTCATTATCTCATAACAGAAGTACACAGCTCTGCGACATTTAATTATTCCCTACTTGCCTTTCAGGGTCTACGAGCATTCCTTCCCAAAGCTGAGTTGATGAAAAGAGTCAATAGTTTCATGGATTTAAAGGAAAATGTAAGATAATTCCCTTCTTATTTCACTGAATAATCTTAAGTACAGCTTGATATATTTAGTACTTTGTGATTAGGTTTATGAACTCTTTATAATCTTTGTGCTCATAGAATTGGTTCCTGTTTCAGGTTGGTCGCCAGTTGTATGTGAGTATTGTAAGGGTCGATGAAACAACTAATGACTTAATAATTAGTGAGAAAGAGGCCTGGGTATGTTTTTTATACTTGTCAATCCTTGTGTTTTATCATATTGGAATAGTTATCCTGTGGTTTTTTCTTACAAGTATTTTTCTATTGGCTTTCATTTCCCCCGATTATCAAATAATCCTATACACAAATGCTTGTAGGATATGTTAAACCTCAAAGAAGGGACCCTTTTGGATGGGACTGTTCGTAGAATCTTTCAATATGGAGCCCAAATTAGGATTGGTGATACTAACAGAAGGTGAGGATGTTGAGACGTAGTTACAATAATGGCCATACATATTCTCCGTGCTCTACGAGTTACCTGTTGCATAGTAGACTGCATATTGTACTATTTCTCTGTAATTTTGTCTAGCCTCAATCTATAAGTTATTAACTTTTCAATATCTGCCTATAATTTCTAAATTTAGATTGTGGTAAGCTGTAAAGATCCTTTTTTCTTTACTCGATATTTCTTTATATCTGGGAAACTCTTTTTTGCAGTGGATTGCTACATATCTCAAATATTACTCGTGCTCGTGTCCCATCTGTAAGTGAAGTATTGGAAGTGGGTGAGAAGCTGAAAGTTCTTGTGGTTAAATCAATGTTTCCTGACAAAATTGCACTAAGGTGAGTATTAAAGAACTGGTCGGTGGTTTCCTCTTTTTTTTATCTTCCTAAAAACTACCTTTTCCCTTAAATTCAATCTGCTGATATACTGGGACAACAAGGACAAGATTTAAAGACTGAAAATAAAATTGGAAAACAGGATCATGAAACATGCTATAAAAAATCAACAAATTTTGATCAGTAATGAACCTAATGCCATCTCTCCCTTTTGACATGCTAAAATTCTTGATGTAAGGCACTCAGTGGAAAACAAGAGCTACTGCTGGGGAAAAAATCTATTCCAATTTGATTTTATGCAAGAAGATGGTGAAGAAATTTTATATCTGGTACTGCAGGAAAATCTCAAATAAATCTGAGCTATGAGAAGCTAGAATTAACTTTACAAGGAGCTTTATTATCATTTATCATGTTGTTATCAACATTAATTGTAGACGTACATTATTATGAAGAGTTAGTAAAATAGAATAGGCTTCTAAATTGATTGCCAATGTAGACACGAACTGGTCAGAAAAAGTTGATTTAAGATATATGTTATAGGTTGCTTCAAATACTCAAATCCATATTGTTTTGGGAGTTCCTTTTTTAGCTTGGTTTGTTTTGATCAAGAGTTCTACTTACATTAGACTTTGTACAACCAATCATATTAGAGGTTTATTTCTACTTAGACTCTTATTGGGATTTAGGACATGTGGATTTCTATTCCCATTATAACTCTTACTCCTTAGACAATAAGGAGCTGTGATCTTCTAGATTATATAAGAACAGTCTTTCAAGCCAATTAGATTCATCAATCTTCAGAGCACCAATCAAGAAGAGAGTTTATTTGTGAAGCCTATTTGATATTCTTCTCTTTTGTTCCTTTTATTTAGTTGAAAGTTGTATTAGGCTTTTGGGATGTTATTTAGGATTGAGTGATTGAGAGATCCACTTTGTATTCCTCACAATTTAGTAAAGTTTTCTCCTCATTCGTCCGTGGACGTAGGCTACAAGCCGAACCACATATATCTTTGTGTTCGTATGTTCTTGATATTTTTCGTGCTCTCGTGTGATTGATATTAGCTTATCCTGGGGAGTTTGTCATAACAAATTGGTACCATAACCCTCAACTATCGATCAGACGAGAAGATGACAACTACTATGAAGTGAGATATCGAGAAGTTTGATGACAACATCGGTTTCAGCCTTTGGCAAGTAAGGATGATCGTCGTGTTGACACATAGTGGATTGAAGAAGACTTTGTTCGAAAAGTCGAAGAAACCGACTACTATGACGGAGGAAGATTAGAACGAGTTTGATGATAGATTTCTCACAGCAATACAGTTATGTTTGACAAATAAAGTTTTGCGAGAAGTTCTCACGGAGAAAACAGCCGCTGATTTGTGATCTAAATTGAAGGATTTGTATTTGACGAAGTCGCTCACTAATTGCCTCCTCTTGAAACGTTTGTACACAATTCGGATGTCGAAAGGAACACTCATCAAATCTCATTCTGGTGAATTTAATTCTGTGATTACAGATTTGAGTAAGATTGATGTTAAAGATCAATGATGAAGATCAAGCCCTATTGTTAATTGTGTTCTTTGCCGCCTTCCTACAAGCACTTCAAGGTACTATGATTTACGGTCGAGATTCTATTGGTATCAAAGACGTTAAAGAGAACTTATTGAATAAGGAGAAGATCGACAAAGAGTTAACTACAAGTGAAAGTGACGATAAAGCTGATGGGTTGTTTGTTCAAGGAAGATTGGAAGAAAGAGGCTTTGGAGGTAACATGTATTAGTCGAAATACAAGAATCTGATCTGCAAATATTGTAAGAATAAAGGGCACATCAAGATCGATTGTTACAAATTGAAGAACAAAAATAAACAAAAAGAGTATGAAGAAAAATTAAAGGAGGACTCTGCTGAAGTTGATATCGCTGAAGATATGATTATGTTGGCTATAAATGATATAAACAGGAGCATGAATGATTGGATTTTGGATTCAGATTGTTCCTATCATATATGTCCTAATCGAGATTGGTTCACCACTTATGAAGCTATTGATGATGGAGTTGTTCTTATGGGGAACAACGCCTCATGCAAGACTGTTGGGAAAGCCACAATTCGGATTAAGATGCATGATGGAGTCATCAGGACTTTGACAGATGTTAGGCATGTTTCAGGTTTAAGAAAGAATATCATCTCTTTGGGCACTCTTGATAGCATTAGGTGTAATTTTTCAGGTGAAGGTGGAGTTTTTTTGTTACAAAATGCTCTCTTGTGGTTATGAAAGGAAAGAATATCGACAGCTTGTATGTTTTGCAGGGTTCTACCATTACCGGCTTGGCTGCAGTTGCATCGTCGATGTCAAGAGTTGATACTACCAGATTATGGTATATGAGACTTGGTCATATGAGTGAGCGTGGATTGACCTAGTTAAGTATGAAGTGTCTTTTATGTGGACAGGGTACAGAAAAATTAGGATTCCGCGAGCATTGCATCTTCAAGGAGTATTGCATCTTCGGGGAGCATTGTATCTTTGGGAAGCAGAAAAAAGTCAGCTTCAGTACGGCAGTGCATCAGACTAAATGTACTTTGGATTATATTCATTCAGATCTTTGAGAACCTTCTCAATTTGCCTCGAGGGGTGGTAGTTCTAGATATTTGTTGACCTTCATTGATGACTACTCCAGAAAGGTTTGGGTCTACTTTTTGAGACATAAAGATGAGATGTTTGTGACTTTCAAGCAGTGAAAGTCTTTGATTGAGAAGCAGACTGGGAGGCTGATTAAGTGGCTTAGAACTGATAATGATCTTGAGTTTTATAGAGGAGAATTTAATGATTCTGTAAGAATGAGGGAATCGTTAGACATTGTACAGTTCCTCGCACGTCGCAACATAATGGAGTGACAGAACGTATGAACAGAACTCTATTAGAGAAAGCTCGTTGTATGATGTTCAATGCAGGTTTAGGCAAAGAATACTGGGCGGAAGCAGTGAATACGACTTGTTACTTAGTGAATCGATTGCCATCAATTATTATTAGTTGCAAAACTCCAAAGGAGGTTTAGTTCGGTAAGCCTGCGGGTTATTCTAATCTTAGAGTATTTGGTTGCCCTGCATATGTGCATATTAATCAAGGAAAACTTAAGCCACGAGTGAAGAAGTGCATATTCGTAAGTTATGCATCGAGTGTTAGGAGTTTTAGGTTGTGGTGTCCTGATCCGAAGTCTCCTAAGATTATTATTAGTCGTGATGTTACTTTGCTATGTTCCATCAGAAACGGTTATCGGTTTCAGTTGTTGATTAAGCGCGCACTATAGGACATAATGAGGAGTTAGAAAGTTGTGATTTGGAAATACACTATTGGTAGAGATCGGTTTAGACGAGATATCCGACCACCATGAAGATATGAAGATACAGTAGCTTATGCATTGTCGGTTGATAATTTTGTGTCCTTCAGCTATTCAAGAGCTACTTCAGGTGATGACTTTGTTAATATTTACGATCGTCGTGCGAACAATTCAGACGATTTGTTGAGGAGACTTCTTTCAGTTAGCAAGTTCAAGTCGGGCTTGAACTTGATCGATACGTGCCGCACTTAGATGCCCTACGGGGCTATTGGAGAAGTGGAGTAAGTTAGCTTATTTTGGAGTGAGGAATCTTCTACGCATTTGAGTCAATGTGGAGATCTGTTATAGGTTGTCTCAAATACTCAAATCCATATTGTTTTAGGAGTTCCTTTTTTTTAGCTTGGTTTGTTTTGATCAAGAGTTCTATTTACATTAGATTTTGCACAACCAATCATATTAGAGGTTTATTTCTACTTGGACTCTTATTGGGATTTAGGACATGTGAACTTCTATTCCTATTAGAACTCCTACTCCTTAGACAGTAAGGAGTTGGGATCTTCATGACTATATAAGAACAGTCTTTCAAGCCAATTAGATTCATTAATCTTCAGAGCACCAATCAAGAAGAGAGAGTTTTTCGTGAAGCCTATTTGATATTCTTCTCTTTTGTTCATTTTATTTAGTTGAGAATTGTATTAGGATTATGGGGTGTTATTTAGGATTGAGTGATTGAGAGATCCACTTTGTATTCCTCACAATTTAGTGAAGTTTTCTCCTCCTTCGCCCGTGGACGTAGGCTACAAGCCGAACCACGCATATCTTTGTGTTCGTGTGTTCTTGATATTTTTCGTGCTCTCGTGTGATTGATATTAGCTTATCCTGGGGAGTTTGTCATAACAATATGTGAAGGGGCAATGCTTGTTATAACCCAATTTTCAGAAGTGCTTATATGTGTATTGCACTGCAGGTTGCCACCTTCCATTTCTCCACTATAAACTATTTTTTCTGTCAACACTGAGCATTTTAGCAGCATTCACCACTTACATCCACATTACCTTCAAAATCATTTCTTCACATATCAGTTTACCTTCAGAATCATTTCTTCACATATCAGTTTAACACGGACCTCGTTCTTGCCTTCCTATGTCATCTGTGCTTCTGTGATACATTTATTTTTTGGGAGATCAAGCTCTATAGACACGTAAACGGTTATGGTTCCTTTAAGAACATCTAAAATCGGTATGCACTTAGCACAGATTTAATCCTCTCACTAGATGGTATTGGTGACTACAGTTACCCAGTATCAGATCCTTGACTGCTTTTTGAATTTGAGAGAGGGACACCATATACACGCAAGCCCATGTTCACGTGGATGAAAATGATTTCCAAGTGGGAAAACGTTTTATCAATTTCTATTGTTATTATCTGACCTTCACAAAAAAGGAAAGGGAGGTTATATTTTGTTACAAATACGAGTGCCGTATAAACTGCGCTATCTCTCACACTATGTTCTGCATTAATGTGGTGAGCAGCATTGCAGATCTTGAGAGCGAACATGGCCTATTCCTTTCAGATAAAGAGGTAATGTTTTGCTGTGTTCGATCAAATTTAATTCCATCATGGGTTGTATCCATTCAACCTTTATGCTTCTTATTATCAGAAAGTGTTCTCCGAAGCTGAAGAAATGGCAAAAAAGTATAGGCAAAAGTTGCCAGTTGTGTCCCTGGCTCATAAATCAGATCCGGGTCCAACAGATGTGCTTCCATTCGACGACGAAGCTAAACTTTATTCAAATTGGAGATGGTTCAAATTTGAACAACATAAAGAGTTGGATACCGGTGACGATAATTAATGTCTATGTGTGCTATAGTTCTGATGGGATTTACTGAGCTTTGGATACATAATGCTCTTAAGGCTAAAGCATTTCTCTCGGCTTAACAGGAGGTAAGCAAGCAGGCGGTGGAGAGAGCTGAAAGTTAATTGCTGAGATGTTGACGGCTTAAAGCAAATTGTGGGAGACCATTTTGATGGAGCCTAATATTTTGCTTCCCAACTCTGCTCATTGAGATCGGATCATCTTTTGCCTCATTTTTATAATGTAAGATGTAAGATGTATTTATTTCATTATTCATGTATTAGGTAACACAAAAGGTGCGGAAAAGCAGTGGAGGGGCTACTAATTTTAATCACAATTGTGTGTTAATGTTTAGATAGTTTGGGTACTTTGAAAATCTAAATACTTACCCTCTTTTGTAATTTGTTCTTTTTTTCACTTTTCCTTCATATTTATTTAATAATTGTTATTAAATAATAAATGATTGTGATTAAAAGTATTAATTTTAAGCTTTTTTTTGCCACACTAAGGGTGTGTTCAGCCATCGGCTCAAAAGGGATCGATCATGGTCCAACCCTACCATCTTCTAGTTTGGATTAGTAGTAGACACGTCATTCAAATTAAAGCTGGTTTAATGGCCAAATTTTGATATATAAAAAATGGGTCAATCTTAACCTAGTTTTATGTCAAACGAAAAAACACTAAAACTGGATCATATCCAATCCTAACCCGATTTATAAAACGCCCTAATAAGAGATGTTGGCAACTCGCAAGACCGAGTTGTCAAGCAGATGCTCCACTTGGCGAGAGCCACCATATGCCTTGATTTGGTCTAGCGCATCCCTCTCGGCGTCAAGCAGGTCGCCGGCCATTAGCGCTTCCCTCCTTATCTCGGGCTAGTTCGAGCATTCCAGGTCTAAGTCGTCCCCCACGATCCAGACAAACTTCTTCTTCCAGTCCTTGTTCGAGTCAGGAAGGTCGGTGATGAGCTTGTACTTGCCCACCATTTGGAAGTGGAAGTGGGGCTCGGTCTGGTTCACTTTAATACTCACTAGACGGCCTAGGATCCTCAAAGATGTTTTATCGCTAGCAAATGGCAGACCACCACGAACCAAACCAGGGTCGCGATGGCGTTCGGCTTCATCTACATCGGTGATACTCCTAGAGCCGTGAAGACTTGCTGAAGAAAATGGTGCTAGGGCAATTGTAGGCCAAACTCCAAGTGCTTCAAATACAGTGGAGCCAGATATGGTTCGTGGTCATAGACTGCCTTCAACCTTGTCAGTGCCATCAGTTCATACTCTCGGGGGATGTCATATCTCCTGTGGAGCGTCCTTATTTGCGTTTGGGTCATTTTGGAGTGGGACCCCGCCAACAAAGCATATCTATCTACAGGATCAGATGCCATTGTAGATGAGGGAGTAAGCGCCGGAGAAGATGGACAAAAAAGATCTCAAGTTCTCAAAAGGGATTTCAAAGAGCAATAACCACCATTCCTCTAGCCCCAGCTTTATATATAGACAGCCGAATCCGCAGCTGTCTGAATCTGATCGGCCAGATCAGAATTTGGCCAACGGTCAAGATTAACTCTCAGAATTCGAAGCGACATCTCCAAAAAGCGGAGCTGCGACAGTCAAAATGTGATGACGTCAGCCACGTTAAATCTGAAAAGACTTTTCAGTTTCCCCATTTAATGCATTTCCGCATCCGTCCAAAGCTGTTCTTATTTCACAGCCAGAATCCTGACCTAGCCGACTCATCGAGTCGACATCTTCCTAGGTCGACTCGAACGACAGCACTTGTCGGCCCTATTGTTAAAGACGACTCACTGCGGTTAGTTATTTGACACCCCGCTGGGTCGACTCGAAAGGCGCTACTTCTCAACGCCCCTCAATACAGGTCAAAAGACAACTTTGGCCTCGAACCCCCGCTGACAGCGCGTCGACAACACATTAAATGCTTAACAGGCGCAATTATTTCTCCATCCTTGACACTATTTATGACACATCGGACCACACCAACTTCGTGCGCCGCCTATTCCATCTCATCAATGCTGAAGTGATCGCGTCCATTCCGTGACAGTTCTACGACCGACACATGTAAAATCGACGCTAACTCAACCGCCAGCTCAGACTCGGCCGGAAAACACTAGAATACCCCTCCTGCATGGCTATAAAAGAAAAAACTATTCCAAATGCAAAGGTAAGCAATTTTCTCAGCATATTCCCCCATTCCATTGCATTCTGAGAGCAGGGAAATTCTCACTTTCCCACTCAAGTACATAGCTAACTTGATCATAGGAGGAGCAAATGGGGAGCCAGCCCCCCGTCCTCTTACGAGTTGTTACACGTGCAGGAACGAACAACCTAACTCCAAACGAGATATTCGGAGAAGTTAGCGGCCCCCTGACCAGCCCGTATTATTTTTACCCCTGTGATTTATACCATCAATCAACAAGAGAATTCAAATTCGAGAAATGAATGCACAAGATCAAATGAATCCCATCTTTTGTACAAAATCGTCCAAGTGTAGGTAAGGTCTAAACTTTACACACTACAAATTCCAAGACAATATGCAATGGTCCACGAAGCGAATGATTCGGGACCCAAATTCAGAACAATCTCAACGAATGTGCTACTACTACCGCTGCTATTGGGTCCAAAATGGTTCACAATTTATGAGAAACATTACGTTCAGCCCAGCAAAAAAGGTCCTCTCACAAATACTGTCAAAAATCCACAATTAAAGGAAGATACATATATAAAGCTGTAGGATATGGGATAGGATACAGTCTATAGTACCAGTGATGTGAAGGGAAGTGATATGGTCGTTTTGAGGATACCAAAAAAAATTCTCACAATCTCAAAATCCAATCATGACTCTTGCTTTGGGAACCTACTAAAAGTCCCCTCTTCCAGAATTTAATGTGAAACGACTTGTCCTTCTCCCACGAGCCCATTCACTCCTTGTACTCGGTATTACTATTTTGCATGCATGATCTTTTTGGTTTTTTTCGAATTAGTTACAACTCAGCGGCTTTGGCCTTTGGCCTATTGGGGTATGGTGTTATTACACGGACAAGCTGGCTAGGCTCGCCAGCTAACTCGTGTTGCTTGTTCGCAGGTTTAGGCTTAAGCCTCAGCCCAGCCCGCTCGCTCGCTCGCTAGACTCTGTAGGCCGAGTGAGCTGCCAACCCGCTTCAGCCCTTTTACTCATGGCTC